AGAAAAAGTCTCAGTGCAACAATTGGATCTGATTAAGTTGTGTACCTCCTTAAACCAGTCACCGGTATTATGAAGCATTCACATTCACAATGCAAATTGGTGAGGAAATCATTTTTCAGAGGAAATTTACATTACTGGTAGCAATAAAAAGGAAAATGGATGTTTCCTTATAAAAGATCACAATTATATAGGAAAATTTTAATATTTATAGGAGCAAATTAACCTTTAGTAGAGATAAGTTATTATAGAAACTTCTGTTAAAATTAGTAAGAAGGAAGATTTCTGGTTATTACTACTAATACTTATTGTCATACTTGAGGCAACAGTCAACGGAATAAGCAGCAACAGAAATAACAACAAACCCCCCCAAAACGGAAATCAAAACCAAAATCTTAAACAAGTGGGAGAAAGTTTTGAAAGAAAAAATAGCTAATATTTATTGATATGATTTTTATCTAGTTAACCTAATATAAATCTCTCAACTTAAATGTTAGTAGAATTTATTAAGACATTTTAGTTAGGTTACTAAATTCAAGAGTGAGATACAGAAATATCAGTAGCTTCCTTAACCCTGCAATAGCCACTGCAAGAAAATATCAATGGTAACTACAAACTCTAAAGAATAATCTCAGAAATAAATATTTAAGATTTTAATCAAAAGGATGTAAGGCATTATTGAATGTTAGATAAAAAATATATAAAGGAAATTTCTTTTGCTGAAAGACTCTAGATGTCCCAGAGATAAGTTTTCCACCAATTATCTCTAAATTCAGTGTAAGCCAAACTCAATATCCATACAGAGCACTCCTACTCCATTAACTTCCGTAAAGTTCATTTGATTGTGAAAACAGAAAGCAAATATTTTCTTGCTGGGTCACTAGGGGAAACAGTGAGTGGTGCTGCTCCCATTTCCAACCTTTGATTGCTGAACCCATGAATCCTAGCTAAGGTAGAAACAGCACCGTATACTGGGCACTGATTCAGAGCATATGCAGCCTTTGGAGAAACTTGCCCCAGCACTGTAAGCTATTACCATCTATCTGGCACTGTAACTGATCTTCAAAAGGCCATTCCACTGTTATATCTGACCAGTTGCTTGCAGATGGAGGGATAAATAACAACAACAACAACAAAATCCATTAAATTCTGTGTGCATGGGCCCATCCAGTAAGAATAAAATGCTGCCGTCTTCATGATGTAAGCAGTCCAGGGATGTATTGAAGCTTCAGCTGAGTCGCCTATTGGTTAAGCTAATAATTGGCTTATAAATCTCAAAATATTGTTTTCTGCCCAGGCCAAACAGCTGAGTTGAATAGGAATGTGTTGGGTACAAACTCCCCTGACTTTTTCAAGTTCTTGATGGTGGCACTAATCTCTGCAGTCCTTCTGAGAACGTGGTATTGCTTTTGCTTTACTAATTTCCCAGTTAGGGGCAGTGGCTTCATGTGGCCTACTGGCTTCCGCTTGGCTTCTCCAAACTTATAACTCTCACTCCACCAGTCAGAACACCAGTGCAGGGATTCTGCCAGCTGCCAACTACATCTATACCAATTATGCTTTTCAAAACAGGGGGAATAACCACAGATAGGGTTGGGCACATTCTAGGCCTACTGTGAGATGGACCTGAGATAAAACCCCATTGATCACTTGTCCTCCACAAGGCACTAGTATGACCACTGGACCACAGTGATGTTTTGGATCTCCAGTAATTGTTAGTCCAGAGCCAATGTCCAGTAGTCCCCAAAAGGTCTGATTATTTTCTTTTTCTCCATGCACATATCCCTTAGTAAAGGCTATAGGTCCCCTTGGGAAAGGAGGAAAACTAACAGTATAAATTTATAATAGTGTGCTGCTGTCTTTCCTCAAGCTGACCTGCCCTCCCCTTCTTTCAAGCACTTCCAAGTCTATTAACTGGGTGAAGTCTGGGAATTGATTGAGTGGTCATGACCCTCTTATTTTATAATTCATCTAAGACTTTTTTTCACTTGAACTGGAACTTTTCCACTAATAGAAACCAAGTAATAATTTGATAGGTTTCCTATCTATTCCACATCTGGGAATACAATGATTAACTAACCAAAGCCATAGGTCTGTGCTATTGAGACTACTCAGATTGCTGCTTTGACTCTTCTGTCCATCCTGGCAACCACTCCCACCTTGCCTTTGGAGTTTGTGTGCTGCCTCCTGGTTTCTGCCACTCTGGGATAGTTACTCCTAATGGATTTGGGTTTCCTAATACAGTTACTGCATGTTGCTAAAGGCTTAGGGATAACCATTATGATCCTACTCAAATCTGCGGTCTCAAATGAGCTAACATTCTTGACAAAGAAATTCAGTTTGATATATTTTTTTCTAAGAACAGAAGTAAGTTGAAAATGAGGAGTATTGTATTTTGTAAAATTTAATCTAGAATTATTCAGCATAGACAACTGTGTTCATGTGCATGATTAAATACAATGGACATGTCTGAGGCAATCACTTAATATTTGATTCAAAAATTATGATTATACAATCCAGAAGACTTAATGAAACCAATTCAGTTATTTTTAAATAAAGCTACACTGGAGTATAGTTAGTTAACATAAGGAAGATTAAAAGTAATTTTCATGGCTAATATGAAGTGTGAAATATTTGCAGATTAGCTGAAAACAACATTCAGTATCTCTGCCCTTGCATAAACAGATAAAGGGAAGTATCTAGAAGATCCAGAAAGCTAACACACATTGGGGTGGAATTCAATAACAGGACTCTGATTTGATTTTGTGCTTTAAGACTTAGCAGAAGTGTGTGGCACCTAATTGCCTCTAGAGTGCTAGCTGAATGCTCTTTCTCCAATATTAATACATCTGCCCTAAGTGATCCTTCAGAACATGTGTTGGAGTGATTAAATGGACAAAAGACTAAGATTTTATTGATGTGACTACTCACTTACTTGCTACTTACCTGCTTGCTAATAGATATATAAACGTGTGGCAGAATTCTATGATGCCTTTAACATACCAACTGAGAGTGAGATTATGGGGCAGACAAACTATGCCCTCCATTTGCCTCTGTTTACGAAAGGCCATAGATACTAAAAAGAATTTCATGATTGTGAACCACAAAAATGCTCTGAGTCAGTTTACCACAGGTGGGAAAACATTTTTCGCGTTTGCCCTAATACAGACACTTCTATTTATTTGCTCTAAACACAAGATTAGAAAAGTTTCCTTGAATGTAAGGTTACTGAGTGTTCCAGATTATAGTTTTGGGGGCATATGATTTGTCTTCAATATGTACATGGAAAGTTTTTATTATCTTTTAATTCCCTAATTCCAAAAATGTTTTGAAGTATCCTCATATGTATGTATAATTACACACATAACAAATATATTAGCCTAAATATATAGGCCTCTTTTGGCATGTTTGTATATGTGTGTGTGTGTGTGTGTGTGTGTGTATTGAGAGAAGTGAGATAGAGTAGATAAAGAAGAGAGAGAGAGACAGAATTTATATGGCCAATGGCTGGCACGTGCTTAAGATAAACTAGAGGCTTATAAAGTACATGTGTTTAAAGAATTAGATCATTCAGGATGTAGCTTATTCAAATGATTAACTATTTAAATTGAATAATGGTCTTCTTGCTCAAAATATATTTTCTCTTAATATGAAAAATTGTTATGTTTTACAGAGGTGAATGGGGTTTATTTTGTTCTAATGAGAACAGAATACTTATTTTAAAGAAATGTTTGCTTTTTATACTTAAATAATTTTATACTTGAAGATGAGCACTGTATGAGAATCCCTCTTATTATCAAGGCCTCAACTTCCAGATAAAACCAAACTGGGACAGTTTACATATCATGTGAAAATATCTCTCCTCAGTAGAAAATGTTGTAAATTTAAGGGCAATGCTAGGTAAGTCAACTGGGTCAAATAAAAATTTAAATTTAGGATATTACTATTTTAAATATTCTGGGTTACATGAGAAGAACCTCACAGGGAGGGCATGACTTTTTTTTAAGATGTCAGTGGTGCTCCCAGAAAGAAAGTTGTTACAAAGAGTCACTTTCCTTTTAAAACATACTTTAAGAGAAAGACATGGATGCAAAAAATTTAAAATACACAGACTTCTGGACTGGCGGTCCAGGCAGGCACAAAGCAATAAGGAAGAAACATTGTATTTTCATGGCTATTTGCGATGTAAAACAAAACAAACAATAACAGTACAAGTTCTCAAACTTTTGGGAAAAGAAGACAATTATATTGGAAATTCCCATTGCATTCATCTGCAGTATGGGAATGTAGACATTAATAAGGAAGGATAAGAGGACTTGTTGAAATGGAGAGAAAGGTCGTGTTCAGGGTCACAGCTCACTAGTTGCCCTCTAATGCAATTTTATATAGAACAACAAAAACAACAAGAGATCAGTGGGATGAAGTTTTAAAAAAAAGTATGGAAACAAAGTCCTTTAACAAAATATCTTCCACTTTCTCTCCTTTGGGAGACAAGAACATATGCACCAAGTTACAGTCTTTTGACTATTTTCTGGTTTCATACTCATCACATGCCAAGCCCTGCTACCAAACAACCAAGCCTACAAAGGTCGCAAAGGGAAACCAAAGAAGGAGGCAATTTATCAGAAAGAAAGCAGGGTGTGTAAATGGAGAACTAAACAAGAAACAGCAAAAGGTTAAGTAAGCACAGTGTCTGATTTGGGGATCCCAAATTGGTGTACACCTCCAAAAAGAATTAGTAGCAACAAACATGATTTATGTATAATACATATAAAAAAAATCCTTCTCTGATATGCTGTTTTGCCTCAATCATCTAAAACTTAAATCTAAAAAAAAAAAGGAAGAAAAAAGGAATCTTTTTTTTTTTTTACTTAAAAACCACAAAAGCTTGGCTAAAATGTGTGAACATTTAAATATGCGTATTCTAAGTCTTCATGCAGTCAGATAAGTATTTAAGTTTTGCATATGAAATAACAATTCTTTTACATGCAAATTGCTCTTACCTAAAACACTGCTGTAATACTCATCCCATTCTGGAAATAGGTAGTAAAAATGCATCACATCATACATTACATATAGTAACCAATTTTTCAGCCTCTGTACAAAAGGCATGTTGTCTGTCAGTCCTGATGTGCTGCCAGGAACATATGAAGAAGGACTGGGAAGTCCAGCACAAAATCGCTCATAGAAGTTCCCAATAGAAAACCGGAAAGTATACATGAATGGAATATTGAGAAGCTCAGCCACCAACTCTCCACAAAAGCTTAAAGGGTCAGCAAAGCAGATATCAAACTTAGCTGCCTTTAGCTTGGCGAGTAACTCCTTATTCGTTACAGCACTGTCACATATTCTTTTCAATGCACTTCCAAAACTCTTTTCGATTTTTGCAATCCTTAGGTACCTGTACCACCATGGAAGTTTTGGCAGTTCAGAAGAAGTTTCATAGATAAAGCCATTGATCTCTTCCATGAGAGTTTCTTTGGTTACTGGAAGTTGGAGGACCTCCACATTAAAGGGAATCTTGGTATGATCAAGCAGCAGGCTTGGTGAAGCTACCAGGACGGTTATCTCGTGCCCACGAAGCTGAAGTTCGTCCAGAATAACTTTTAAATTAATCCAGTGACTGAAGTCCATTGGCCAAACAAGTATTTTCCCACTTCTTCCAGAGTCGAAGAAACACAGATGCAGCATGAAAAGGACACAGAAGACTTTCACAGTCCCCATGACCAACTCTCACTCTAGTTAACTAAGCCTGGGCTTAAACCAAGCACAAGAGGCTGATTCTTGAAAGACTTCTTTCGTGATCCTTTCAATCAATTTATTGTGGTTGGGCAAACATTAACGAGTGAACTTTGTATTGTTGATTCTCTCAACTCATGGTGGGATGGGCTAAACTCTGAGTAGCATACCTTGTATTATTGACCTTCTCTATTACTTTATGGTGGGTTGGGCTAAACTTTGAAGAATGTACTTTGTATTATTGATTAAAATCAAATGCAACTGTTTTGAAGAAAACAGATCGATATAGTTAATATAATCAGTTGCAAAGAAAATACTCAGAACTAGAATTTCAAAGCTTCTTCTAGAAGATAGGGAAATAAAGAGGCTTAAACTTAAACACAAATGCAAAATAATTTCTAAATGACGTTAATAAAATTCATCACCATACGATGTTCAGTCAATTAAGACGGAATTGTTATCCTTTCTTTTTCTTTGGTTTCATTTGAATGTTCTTTTGAACAGAATGATATCTCAAGTATTTCTCTTGCTGATAACCATCCTGAATATTCGAGTAAGAAAAGAGGCTCTCTCCTCCTTTTAGGAAAAAAATGTGTACTTTAAGAGGTGTTATGGTAGGGAGAAGATTTAAATCCACATCTTCTAATGCTAACTCCAAAGCTTTTCTGTGAAATCACATCTAAAAGAGAAAATGAAAATGACTTTTTTTAACCTTTTCTAAATATATGTGTGAATGTTCTGATTTTAGGTCAGAGTTGATTTAGGTCAATGTTGTGTAGAGAAGTGATATCTCAGAACAGAAAATACAAACTGTGAAAAGATAACCTCACCTTTACAGCATATCCAATTCTATTTTCTTTCTATTTTTGTTCGCACAGACTTTTTATTACTTGTAATTTCATTTTTTCTTTTTTTTGCCTGGATCTCCATACCTAGAAGTCACTACCCAATGTAGAAAAGGATTCAATGTCATTTAGAATAATACATTCATGTATAATGTTTTTGCTTAAAAAGTTGATTTTTCCCCAAATAATTATTCAATAGGAATATGTAATGATAATGACATTATTATTGTAATTCTCATAAGAATTATTGGGTAATAATGAAAATATTATTGAGTAATTATGCAATTGATTAATATATCATACAAATTTGATACCCCAAATACGTGTCAATTCATTTTCCTTTATCAGTCTTTACTGCTACCAATGTAAACCTAGCAATTTTCATATCTAACCTGAGGTGACTGCAACAAGCCTTCTAATATCCCTGCTTCCACTTTTGTATACTTACAAATCTCTTTCCACATAGAAACTTCTCTGATTTCAAATATATCTGTTGCAGAGAGTGTCATTCCTGAGCAAAATACTTTAACAACTTCCTCTTTTATATACGTTAAGATCAAATGCTGGTGAGGATGTGGAGAAAGGGGAACTCTTTTACACAGTTGGTGGGACTGTAAAATAGTACAGCCATTATGGAAAACAGTATGGAGGTTTCTCAGATAACTATAGATAGAACTACCATATGATCCAGCAATCCCACTTCTGGGTATATACCTAAAGCAATGGAAATCATAATGTCAATGGTATACCTGCATTCTCACGTTTATTGCATGTCTGTTTACAATAGCCAAGACATGGAACCAACCTAAATGTCCATTGATGAATTATTAGATAAGGAAATTGTGGCATATATACAAAATGGAATACTACTCTGCCATAAAAAGAATGAAATTCTGCCATTTGCACCAACGTGGATGAGCTTGGAGAAAATTATAAGTGAAATAAGCCACAGAAAGAGAAATACAGCATGTGCCCACTCATAATAGATGAAAGAAAGAAAGAAAGAAAGAAAGAAAAAAGAGAAAGAAAGAAACACCACAATAATACATTGAACTTTCAGAAGGAGAGAATGAATCTATATTTACTAGAGGTGGGAGGAGGGACAGAGATTTGGAAGATATTGGATAAGGGTCACAAAAAGAATAATTACTATTTGTAATAATGAACATGCTAATAATATTGATTTAATCATCACATGTTGAGCATAGGTGATGGTAGTCAGCACTGTACCTCCCAAATATGTACAATTAATGACTCTTTAATAAAAATTAAAAAAAAAAAAAACAATTCTGAACTAGAAAAAAGCAAAAAAAAAAAAAAGAAAAAAGAAAAAAGAAAGAAAGAAATCTATCTACATTCTCTAAAATGGATCCTAAAATCCTGACAACTTTCTAATATCATTACCATCCATTTTCTGGCTCCATCCATCTCCATATCAGATTAATTTGAGCTTTGTGATAAGAAATTCTTTCCTACCTCAGTACCTTTGCCCTTGATTTTTTCTCATTTGGTCTCTTGCACATTCTTCCAATTTTATGTTATATTTAGCTTTCTTGGGAAGATTTTTTCCCCATCATACCTTATAATATGGTTCCCTAGGTTATTATTTTAATTCTTGGACAAATGTCCCATGTTTATTTACGCATGAAATATGTTTAAAAGAATTGTGATGAATGTAGTTCATAACACCTGATAGCAGCAAGACCTTTAAGGAATTGACTGTTGACTACATCATATCATGCCTATGTCTACATGCACAAAAAAAATTCTTTAAGAAAAAGAAAATTCTTTAAGAAAATTTCATAATATTTTCAATATAAATACAAGATATAAAATGTGAACACACACATACATAGCGAATATAACTCTCCCAGGGAACTGCAAATAGAAGAAGCAGGTGAGCATGTATGCTGTATCCAATAAAGCACAACCATCAACATTAAATATACTTGCTGGAAATACTGAACTAAACCCAGATGGCTCTGTGCTTAATCTAACAGCCAATGTAATACACTGGTTGTTGTACTGGTAAAGTGGTGGTTTAAGTTTTGCATCCCAATTCAAAGTACCAGAACGTTTGCTACACCCAGAACTGGAAACACCAAGTTTAGACAACAAAGAGTTAGGTCAACTGTGTGTGTGTGGGGGGGGGGGGGGTTTAAAAAAAAAAAAAAAAAAAAAAAAAA